ACATTATACGGAATGGACAGCTTGTATTTATGTCTTTAGGAATACACTTACTCACATGTGTATGTAACAACAATTAATGAGGAGAGAGGCCATGAATTTGAAAGAAGAGCAAGCAGGGGTATATGAGAGGGTTTGGAGGAAAGTGAAGAAGGAAATGATGTAAGTATATTATAATCTCAAAAAGTAAAATATGGATATACACACACATATACATACATACATACATACATACATACATACATACATACATACATATTAAAGGCAATAGTGTTGCTGCTCTGTTGAGTAACGTCCACCCTGTGTTTGTGTTTGAGGTCCTCAGTTGGGCATCCCGTGTGCTGAGCTTCTCTGCTTCTCTAGCCCTGTTACTAATTCCAAAGACAGTTAGGCACAACCTATGCTTTGTTGGTCTCTATCTAGTTCTAACTAAATGTTGGTTCCACATCTCCAACGGGCTGATAGAATTCTACCCCATGTAAAAACTATGTATCTCTGTGTTTTCACCATTTTCTAACACAGTCCAGTGATTATGTAACCTTAACTGAGACTCTGGCAGGAAGAGTGAGACAAGTTGAACTTGGTCCCCTGGAGCAAGTGGTCTCAGTTAGGGATGCCCAGCCACATCCCAAACACAGAGAGCTTCTACTGGAGTGTAACTTCCATGGCAGACAGATCTCCTCAGGAGCCTCTTATGAGACAAGCTGAGGACTGAGAGAACTCACGAGCACAGACAATGCTGAACCACACTCTCAGACACTAGAAGCACACACTGCACCCTCCCAACCTGCACACTTATACCACTTTTATCCAGCCATCGTTATCCTAGGCCAGGCTGAGAACAGCCATACTAGGAGACAAGGGTAGGAAGGACCCCAGGGTCACCCACATTCTCCTTTGTTCTGAATCACGTCATCCCTTACAAATGAGCTTTTAGAAGACTCTCCCAGCATCCAGGAATAAGCCAATCAGCATTCTAAATATGCTCTACCAACATTTAAAACTAACTGTATTAAGGGATGAATTGTTGTAGTAAAGTATACGCCTTTTGGCTTTCTCAGAAACTCTTTATTCCCCCTCATTTTAAAAATTAATTCTTTGAGAATTCTGTAGTCTGTACTTTGGTCATTTTCACCCCTTTCCTAACTCCTCCCAGATAGCCCCCCTTCCCTACCTACCCAGTCAGTGGCCTACTTTTTTAATCATGTCAAGACACTTGGTGTGGCCCAACTCTTGGATGTGTGGCCTTCCACTAAGAAATCCAAGCTGGGATTGTGAGTCACATGCCCTGATACTGATAGAATGCTACATTCCTTACTAACTCTTGCAACTGGATGCTGTGATTTTTAATAAGTGTAAGGAAGGCAGAGCTTCCTAATACCTACAACCCATAGCTAGAGACACTCACATTTCCTCCCCCAAACTGAAAGTTTTCACAATCCCCCCCCCCACATACTCATAGAAGATTGTCAAAGCCTAATTACAAGTACCAATAAAACTGGCAAACAGGAATTTGCCAGAGACTGGAGGATCTGCCCTGTGACAATAAAAACATAATTAAATGTCAAGCTTTTCTGCTCAGAATAGATTCAAATCTATTGTGACGGATTTGAGGAAGAGTCCAAAACTCTGGTACATCCACGGGACCAAGATGAAATGAATGGCATCTAAACTGGGTCATTCAAAGGAATTATCCCCCTAGGATGCAATTCCTTAAGACTATACAGAGATAATCCTCTGTGGTGGAGTGACATATCGATCAACCAGTTAATGGCCTTTCTACTTATCTGGACACTTGTGATTGTGTCACACACCACACATACACAGAGAGAGAGAAATTAATAAGAGTCTGAGGCTGGTCTGTGACTGCCATACTCCCAGTTTTAAGGCTCCCAGTTTATCAAATTACTTCGTTTTAAATATTATTTGATAACATGTTCAAGTGAATTATGGCACATTAAAATAAGCATTTACTAATAACAAAAGGCCAAGTCCCTATGTCTAATACCCTTGTAAAAGTTAAAATTCATGAGAGCCTTAAAAGGAGTGCATGCTGGGAGGCAGGAGGCAGAACAGCCCATCCCTCGGGTAACCAGCTGTGACATTA